AGCTATGTACAGGCACATATAGCTTAGAACATAATTAGGATATTCTCCCTCTCTTTCTCTCTCTTTTTTTTTTTTTAACATTATCTTAAGCATTGCATTTTTGTAATTGTCCACTACTGCCTACAAAAATAATCCCTTCCAAAAGAACAAATAATTAAAAGTCTATGCAGTAAGAGAACTGCTGAGCCCACCACTTAAAATGGAAACACTTTGCCTTTGAATCATCCTTTTTCCCAAATGTATTCAGTCCACAAGTAACTTCTTAAAGAGATGCAGAAAYCCTATGCTACCCAGTCCAAGTGAAAATGAAAAAAAAAATGCCTTTAAACTGCTTCTGCAGAAATGCTGCACTGTACACTCATAAGGTGAGTGTGAGAAAAGATAAAAATAATTTGCTCTGCTATTAGGACCCATTATAAATGAAGAAGATTATGTTTGACTCCTTTCAGAGGTTTGAGTATTTTAGAGTGTGATAGAATGTCATGGTCACCRCAACGGCTTTACAGTAGCCATTTGCAGATAATTAATGTTACCATGGCATTCCCCATATAAAGCCACAGTGCTGTTAATTAGGTGCAGTGGCCACACTACAATGATTTTGAAGATAACTACTCTAGAAGCAGTGTCTATGTGGAACTGAGAGAAGCTTGGAGAAAACCAYACTGTATTGTTAGCTGAAAAACCTGGCCACAGGGTTTTGCTACAAAACTAAAACAGAGAGTGTAAATCAGTCCTGTTTTACCAGTTAGTTATAAAGGCAGTTGTGTGCTCTATTCAAAGTGGGGAAGGATCAGTTAGTGAGGGTAYGGGCTGTGTGACTGAGCCTCTGAATTAGAAGGGTGGGCTTGCTGAAAATAAGGTCTGTGAGCAGTGTTTGTTAATTCAAATATAATAATGCCTTCAAATTATGTGGATCGGAGAAGATGTAGAGTGATGGTGGTGGTTCCGAGGAGCCTGGGCAGCCTGTAGGCTGCCAAATAGAATCATTGAATAATTATGGTTGGAAAAGACCTCCAAGATCATTGAGTCCAACCATAAGCCCCAATACAGAAACTTGTGGAAGGCAAATCATGTTAGTACATTAACTGGAGACTTGGACTTGTGAGAGAGTAGATCCCCCTGAAAAGGTGCTATCAATGCCCTTATCATTAGGTCACCTCTTCGCTTTGCTCTCTAGGGGTCTCGGAGTTTATCTGGCCCAGCTATCAGCCAAAGGGGCATTTTCCTGACATCCCTGGGGTTGTCTATGGGGAGGAGCAGAGGAGAGCACTGGCCTGTGAGGACCTTCTGCGCAGCCCTCTGTGTCCCTTAACRTCAGGAGTGCTGGCGCAGAAGCTCTCTTTAGATCATACCTATTTCTGTTTGGTTTGGATTTGCCTAAATTAGCACTGGTCTGAGGCATCCACCCATCCCCAGACACAAAGCAGGATTTCATTAAGCTGAATATCTGCGGAATTTTCTTCTGACTGCCAGATGCTCCTGGGGGTTGCTGCAAGCATGAGGCTCTTTTGAGTTTCACAGTCCCTTTGGGAGCAGAGGGAAGGAATAGGAGGCAGGGCAAAGATAAGTCATTGAGATGGGTGTTTTCATGAAAAAAGCACCATTCTTGTAGGGTGTGGGCTTAGGGGAAGGACAGACTGTGTGCGAGTTGGCGGCCAGCAGGGTCTGGCAGCAGCCTGGCAGGGCCCTGGAGGGGCTCCCGCTGTGGAGCCAGCGTCGGCATCCTGTGCGATTGGAAAGGTGGCAAAGGCTTTTTGGSAAAAGGGCTGTCAAGCGACTGCGCAGCTGTGGAGGTTTCCAGTTCTGTTTGCACTGCTCCTTTCAGCCCCACTTGGGCTGACTTCCCTTTCTCTGCATGCAGTTTCACAGCTCCAAAAACTGATCCTGCTTATGTAGCTCACTTAGCTGTTCCTACTCAGCCTTATTTTTCAAGCTTCTTGCCATTCGTTTCCCACCCCTTCATAACTCATTTGTGTATTTCTTGCAGTACAAAGTTAAAAATATCTGAGYGCAGCCGCCCTAGGTGGCAGCTCCCATCCTCCCTTTACCTCGCATCCTTTTTATGTGTATGATTCTATATTGGACCCATTGCCACGATAGTGCAGCAGCCACCTACACAGCGTGAACTGGAGCAGAGCCCACCTGCTCGTGCCCACTAGACTGATCCTGTTGGAATCAGCATTATACAGCCAGTGGTCTGAATGAGGATTTAGGAGTAAATGCAATGCTGTGTTGGCTAAAGGTTGTTCTTGATTTGTTTTTTGTTTTTATTTATTTGTAGTTTTCATTCTGAAATATGCCTGTTCCTTCTGCCTGCTGTCACACTTTCACAGTTGTTTTTCTCCAGGGTTGCAAGTGATGCCGTATTCCTGGTCATTTTTTTTATCTCCTTTCACTGCTTTGTATCTGTACATGTTAAATCTCCTTTTCTTACTTTAGTAAACTTCTCAGTTTAATTTTTATCCATTTCATAAAATAGGATCATGGTGGCACCAGCAGGGATCTGTGTCCAGTTTTGCCATGTGGTTCCCCTTTGMTATGTCCCATAAATGAGGGATATAACTCATTAATCCTGGGTATAACCAGGCACAGGTAATGGTGCTGAGTTTTGCTCTCTTGCTCTATGGTAGCTTAATCCGGGTCACATTTCTGCTTATAGCCTTGCTTGGCTGTAAGCAGAGGGACTTGCATCCCGGGCACCAGAACCAGCTCCCAGAGGAGCTTCTCACAGCAGAGTAGCTCCCAACCTGTGCCAGGGCAGACAGCTGGGTGGCCCACACAAGGTAGGTAAGATAGGCCCTTGTTCTGCCTCCCTCCCTTGCATGGGTGTGCAGACCAAGTCAAAACCCTGCCGTGTGCGAGGGGTCCGTCACGGGTGGGTGTTTCAAGCGCCAGGCCCGGCTCACGTCAGGGACGTGCTGCCTGTCTCTGCCAGCACCGGCTTTGACCCGTTTTACTCCCTGAGTGTGTGTTTCATACCTCAGTGTGAGTGATGAAGCAGTGATTCATAGCGTCAGACACCTCTGCAGTGCTCCGAGAGTTTCTGGATCTTTCCGTAGCTGCTCTTCTCCCAGGAACCACCTCGTTTTGGTCCCAGGAACCACCCCGTTTTCAGTCCAGAGTGATCTGGCCAAGAGGGCCATGCTGCTTCCCCCTGTGTGGAAAGCCCCAGGCACCTTCCTGTGAATCTGCTTCATCTTCGGTGCATGTTGCAGGAGTGCACAGATGATCTCTAGCATCTCGTGCTTGGTGCAGCAGGCACCAGSTGCTGCTTCAGTGTGTGATCTTGCTCCCATGGATCCCTGTGCCACTGAGCTGAGCCCTGTTTATCTCTGTTGATTTTTTTTATTCCTTTTTCTTAAACTTTAACCGAAATTATTGGGGGAAAAAAAAACAGAGATTTTTTTTTTTCCAATAAGAAAAAAGATACTTTTTTCCATCTTTGTCATAGACATATTATTATATTATAAGCATATGTTATTGGTGTTATGGTGTGTTTATAGTGATTGAGTGTTATGCATTAATGTTGCAGCATGCTGTTGTGAGGACGTGTCATCCTTGCAGCCCTGAGTCCTGGTACTCCAAGCTTACTCTGTTGCATTCATTTGATGACTTTTTAGCAGCCAAAACTAAAGTTGACTATGCAGAATGACCAAAATGTCTGATGTCTTCTAATGTGGTCCAGCTAGGCAAGCCTGAACTGAGACACAGGTTTGATATTAGTCCTGCTGCAGCTTTGATCAAATTAATTAACATTTCCTGAGTCACTTTCCTATGTTGAAAGGGGAAGAACAGTGGCTACAATCACATATCATTGCTTCTATATAAGTAGTATATCCATATTGTTGTTAAATATTAAAGAGTGTTCTATATTTTATACAGCTCTGATAGAGCACTTTGAAGAAGAAAATTAAATGATAATGATGTGCTGCTTTTGTTTTTTTCCCGTTTCCAGCATTTTTTTTCACGTATTTAATAACATACAAATGTTTAATGCACATTTGCCTTTTTCCCTTTTGATCTTTTTGTTGTTTTTATTTTTCATTCGTAAGTAGCCCCTTGTTTTCTGACATAGCGTTTGGGGAGAAGGCAAGTAATATTTTTCCAAACAGTTCTTTATCCAAGTTCGCACTGAGAAGCATTATGGATTTGATCTCCACCCTCTGCCCCAGACACTCTTCAGCATGAAAGAAAAGCAAAGCTGTCTTTTAACGAGATGAGACCGAGCTGGGTAAACATCACATTTGAATTGCCTGCTCTCTCTGGAGCTGTAGCGTCACATCTTGGCTAAATAACTCCTTCCTCAGTTGCAAATGGATGTTTTGAGCAGTTTGCAGTTTGAAGATCTTTTGGATTAGGCCTTGAGAATTTACCTCCTGTCTCTTTGGAAAGCCAGTAAGGATTTGTGGTGTCTTGCCACGACTGCCTGCCAAGGTTGCCTTCTCCTACCTGACCATATGGTGCTCTGTCTGGCTGGAGGACTGGCCATTTCTTCTTCAAAAGGGTTTTTCTGTTTCTGGGGCTGTTCGGTATGACCTTGAAGCCTTTGGGAATTGCACTGTATCCCCTATATGCTTTGTTGTCRGTGATTTTACATCCATTTGCTGTTAGCTCCAGAGCTTACTGAAGTCAGTGAAACTATTCAGGGATCGGGGAGACTGGATTGCACCCTATGTGGAGAAAGCATTTGCGGTGAGAGTGCTCTGTGGACTGTGTGGACACAAAACAAACTCAAGTGAAAGCTGTGGCTTTGTCCCCTATTTTTTTTTTTTTAATATAAAATGTATAGCGTGTTCTGTAAAAGAGAGATCAAGGATGCTCTCCATTAACTTGCATTAGCATTTCACATTCAGCCTTTCCCCTGAGCACACAGGTCRAAGGAGAGTGACCATGTGTATGAGCTGTGTCCCTCAAAGACAGGACACAGTATTATTTTGCTGGGGACAGTGAGCTGCGTCCTCTGGCTGTCCTCTGAGGCAGTTTATTTCTCATGTTCACAGGATCGACGACTGTTTCTGTGCATCTCGGAAACTGGATGCAGTTGCCACAGAAGCGAAGTTCAAGCAGGACCTGGGGTTCCGAATGCTGAATTGTGGCCGAACAGATCTAGTTAAACAGGCCATATCCTTGCTGGGCCCGGATGGAATTAACAGCATGAGTGAGCAGGTAACAAAAGAGAAATGCAAAGAAGTGACTGTGAAACGTTAGAGTTTTGTCTGTTTATTGCACAGTGTGAGCTCCAAAATGAGCTCAATATAGAAGGGCCCTTACTGCTTTCCCTGCATTACTTTGCAGTGAATTAAAAGCACTATCAGGTCAATGTTCAAGTGAAGTGTGGTCATCTTGAGTCATATTGATCAGTTAGTACTGAGGTAATTCAATGTGAAGGTTAATGAGTCCCCCTTCTTAAAATTCAGATGATTCAAATGAAACCAGAAGTTGGTCGTAAGGGAGCTTAGTGGGGTTTTGAATACTTAGACTGTTTTAATGTCATGAAGAGTAGTGTGTGGCAGGGTGGAAACTGTCCTGAGGTTTGCAGCACATTTCATACATAGCACCCAAGGCTTGGCAAGCAAAGGCTGCTCTCTTTCACCCTGTCATTGAATCAGGCCCAGTTTGAACTAGCACCTAGATGGAACAGTGTCTCTACAGCATTACCTCCCTATTAGTCTTTGGGGAAAGCACCCACCAATTTAAGAGCCTGAATTTATCTAGAATAAATGGAACTGGTAAGCTAAATGCCTTTATGAGCCCATGCCCTTGTCTTTGAGTAGGGTTCATCAAATATTAGCATCTCTGTGGGGCTGCAGGTTTTATCTGAGATGAACTTCCATCATGTACCAGCAGAAATGTGCTGGACTGCTACGGTCAGAAGGTTGTTCGCCATTCCCAGAGAGAATTGTTTTTGCTATTTCCTTTTGAAATAGAGTTGCCTGAATTTTCTGAGAGCCTCATTTTGATGAGACCTTCAAGGCYAAGATCCTGTCTTTTCTGCAGACATAGGAAAGATCCCGGTGCCCCGATCAAAGTTCACTCCATGTTCCTAGCTCTGTGGCATCCCATTTGGCAAGAGACAGCCAACTGCCACCCCTGTTGGAGTGACCTGTGGTGGGAGATGCATTTTAAATAGGATTTGGGTCCTCTGAAGTGAAGCTTGTCTTAGGAATATAAGTTCCTAAGCATCTCCGAACTGCTGTTCAGCAGTTTGTTTGAGACAGTATTGTAGATTAGTTTGAAAAACGCTTCAGAAGAAAGTAATACTCTCAGAATAAATTTTATATCAGAGAGAYCATTCCAAAGTTTATCCATTGGACTTCCTTAGATCACTATTATTTTAMGTTAATCTGAACCTGGAAGCTTTTCACAGCACATTTCCTCTGTCCTCCAGGCTGAAAGCTGGGAGTGCTCTGGCTTGGTCCATCAAAGTGCTTAATCTTATGCTTAGCTCTGAACACAAACTTACATCCCATTTGAGTGAAAGTTAAGCCTGTGCTTAAATGCTTCGCTGGTTCAGACATCCCACATGTTGCAGGACAGAGCCCTAAGCAATACAAGGCTGAAAGGAAAAAAAGCCTTTTAAACAAGTTTTGCCCAAACCCAAATGCCTGTTGCGTTGATTGCACATGTTGTTACCGTGTTCCTGTTTATGTGCTGAGCAGTAATGATGGGCTCATTAAAAATCCATTCCTCCCACATGCGAAGGGAGAGGGGCTGAGTGGTGATGCAGAGCGAGTYGGCGCTGCCGGGCAGGCCTCAGCGATGGGCAGATGCAGAAGCAGCAGTGACAGCTGTGGAGAGGAAGGGGAGATTAGAGACTTCTTTAACCATTCTAAACCTTGATATTACAAAATGACATTCTGGGCCCCCATTTTAGTCAACAGTATGTCCTTCGTCAGCTTCAGCAGGGCCAAAATACCATGTGTAGTACTTAGGCAGACTCTTTCTAGGCAGAAATTACTGTGGGGGATTTGTCACTTTGAACACTCATGTGCTGTGTCTTATAGGTTTAATTTCAGGCATTTTAAAAATATATTTTTAAAGTTTTTTTTTCTTCAAATTCAATTAGACCCTTTGTGTTATCCTCTTCATTTAATTATTAAGTGGCAAATAAATGGCTGGAAATAAATGGAAATGTGCCAGCGACTATAGCAGAAGTAGTTTTAGGTTCTCTTTGCAGCTAACTTCATGTCACCCAAGAACTTCTTCACTCCTTGCCTGAGGTGAAGTTACTTCTTGTTAATAATAATATCAGCCCCCAAATTCCTGCTTTTTTTGAATGTATCTCAAAAATACACTAGAGATTTGATCYGGTAGAATATTCAATGTGTTTCAAGGGATCTTGAAAAATCTCAGTTTTTTATAGAGTTAGACCTCATATTTTCCCTGCCAAGGGAAACTCTCCCATACCTTAGAGGCCCCTCCTTAGCCCTACATAAAAAGATGAAAAATGGGTAGTTCAGCAAAAGCAAATCTTCCTCTTGAGCTCTTGTTTGAGGAAGAGCAGAGCTGCAGCTCTGTTTCTAGCTATGCAGAGCACCTCTCTTGTCTCTGGAAATAATTTCACTTCACAACAACATTCAGGTTAAACAGCAAACCTGCTGCCATCCGRCAGCACTTTCACCAGGGGACCTCGAGATAGGTTATAAACATGCAGGTGAAGTAGCTGGGTGCTGCAGCACGGTTCCTTCCAAACCATTGGTGGCTGTTGATCAACATCCCCCTGCCCAAGTGTAATAAGCAGATTTTCTGTAATAATTTATGGTAGATTTAATGATATCTTCATGGTTTCATCTAAGACTCGTTACCACTGCCAAAGTAATACTTATCTTAAGGAAAATGATGATCAGCTGGACCAGGTATTTCAGATTAATGCACATTGCATGGGGGTGACTCTGTAATGAAGGGTCACTTAGTCTAGTTTTCTTCCAAACCAGGCAGTGTATTCCTAGACCCAGCAATGTGCAACAATGCTATTCAACATTTCATTTAAAATTAAGTCCTTGTTTGCTGTGGAGTGCTATACAAAGCTTTTACATTCCCAGCCCCACATAAGGAAGCTGTGCCCAAATTCTAACCTGTTTTAAGACAACCTGGATGTTTTTTAAGGAATTAGAAATTAAAAAGCAGGTTTCAGGAAACAATGATCATAGAAAATCTGTGTAGAATGATTGCCTTTTTTTTAATAGTAATGGAAATAGGTTAATTTGATTAGAAACATCTCTGTGCTGTGGTCCCAAAGACACTCAGTTTAGTGCATGAAGATGGAGACAGACAAGCCTAGTTTCACTCATGGTGTGGAGGGTGCTGAAGACAAAAGCAACCAACAGGCAACATATAATTGAGATTTTACTAAACAGTTGAATTTTGTGAGTCTGAGGGGCTTATCTGCCATAGCAGAGGTTATGCATTTTGTTAAAAACAAACTGTTAGTTGTGATGATATGTACTTAAATAATTATTTTCTTTAAAAAACAAGCTAAAGAGTTCTGTGGTAAATTTGTCAATTCCTTTGTTTTTTAACTCCAAAAAATGATTAGGGCATGACTCCACTGATGTATGCTTGTGTCAGGGGTGATGAGGCTATGGTGCAGATGCTGCTAGATGCTGGAGCAGATCTGAATGCAGAGGTGAGGACTTTTTGTTATGATTGTATCTTTGTTCTGTTATTTGTTTACATCTTAAACTACCCACTGTAGCAGAGGGGAAAATGTTCAAAAATTAAAAACAGAAAAAAAAGTTGTCTTGTCCTGAACAGCAATGCTTGAATTGAATATTGAAATAAGACTACATTAAGTTAACATTGGGATTCGCTGCACAGAAAAGGTCAAGTCATCGGAGACTTGCCCCACAGGTAATGTTGTTGATTTATTTGTGATTGCACACTGCAAATGACTAGAGATGTGAATACCAACACAGTGCTAATGATACTGGTAGGACTGATTGAATCTCAGCTGAGTTAAAATGAAGAGGGTAAGAGCAGTGCCCTTCTGATCCCCTGCCAAAGCTTGAACATTTCTGTGCATGGGGATGTTCCTCGTAAACATCCACAACGTGTGAGCGCGGTATGAGATCCACTGTTTTGTTTTATAAAATGCTTTGGGTTAAAACCTGTTGGATGAGGAGCTTGAAGCTTCCCGAGTGTAAACAGCTCTCTGGTGAAGGCACATCACAAACTCGCACAATCTGGCCACCCAACAGATTGTGTTACCACTCCGAGCAATGCAGGTATGTACATTTTAAAGAGACTTTTGAAGATCCACAGAGGAATTATTTGTTAATGGTTCCACTTTCAATTTGTTGAGGTCATGAGTAAATTAAGCTGTCTGCTTCACTTATCTGTGTTCCATCKGTTCTGTTTGGATTTGAGAGGGATGATAAGTTGTAGTCACTGCCTTCAGCCGGACATTTTGCACTTTTAAAAAATTTAATTTAAAAGTAGAAATTGATGTCATCTGTAAGAGACCGATAGTCATTACTATCTGATTGCTGTTCAGTGACTCCTATGAAGTCAGTTGATGATTTCCATTCAGTTCCTTGTGGRAGCGACTCTTGCCTCTCCCCTCCCCAGGTTCAAGTAAGCCACCCTCAGAGTTGGCAATAACTGGACACTCAAGCCCTTGTTAACAGTCTCCGTAGACCAAATATCGGATGGGCGTGGAGCCTGATTTTTYCTTTACCCTTTCTTGCTGCTCACCGAGTTGAGGTAGCATGCATTTGGTTCCTAGACCAAGTTTTCCAAGTTTTCATTGCAATGAGAAAGTCCACTCCTCCCAATTGCTCCAGTAATCTTCCAGGCTTGAACCAAATGTAAATTTAAACACTTTTGTCTTCCTGAAATTGCTGACATCAGAGAGAACAGCTCCAGCGAGGAATTTGATCCTCCCTGATTCATTTCTACAGAGTTTTTGCTCTAAAATCAAATGAAAACACTTTGCGACAAGAACTGTGAATAATTATGGTGTGCAATTATAAGATGATTTGGGCACACCACAACCAACTGTGCAAATTGGGCAATTATGTGGAAAAAAAAAAAGAGGCAAATCAACCATGAACAAAAATAAATTCTCCATCAGGTGCCTGCATCATTTTCCCCATTTCACTTTGCAAATCAATTATATATGTTTCCAAAAGTAGCCTCGAATGCTGGGTGCCTCCCCTTTTGATTACCCATCTTTAGAGAAAATGGACTCATTTTCAGATGTGTTGGGAAGCTGCAATTTGCTGTGGAGCTGGTAGAACCTGTAGCTGCTCAGCAAATCTGAACTGAGGCCTTAAAAGCCCTGTCAACTGCAGGTCTTTTGCAAACCCCATGTCTACTCAAAAGAAATCACTAACCAAGAAAAGGAGCACAGGAGTTAGAACTACTTCATTTTCTTCTCTGCTTGCTGCGGGCTACCCCRGATAGTAGTGGGAGTCCGTGCTGGAGGAAGAGGAGTAGCTGGGTATGTGTCTCACTGGAGGGGCTGCTTTGCCTTGAACTTAACCTGCTCATCTTCACCCTTGCTGTTCTTGCTCCCCAGCCCAAATCCTAAGAGCTGCTTGATCCTCTCCCCTCTGAGCAAACCCAGACCCAAAGAAGTCCCATGCCTGTGTTAGACCTCAACACACTTCTCCATGAGCTTCAGGAGCGTGGAGCTCCAAGAGCTTTGTGCAGCCTTGTGGGGCTGCAAAAGAGAGAAGATCATTTCAGGCTCTCCCTTTGGCAAATGTTGTGACATGACCAGCTGCTGGCACAAGTTTCCTCCTCCCATAAGCTGTGGGGTCATCACTGGCTCTTCACACTCTGCCCTTGTCCCGGGACTGAGGAGCTGGTCATATGCTTCTAGCAAGCGCTTGCATGTGGAGCTTGGAAATGCTATTGGCAAATGCAACAGAGCATTTAATGACTGGCTCTACTACCCTATATTGAGAGAACTGCTGCAGACCAGACAGTGAAAGCAGAGCTGGCTGCTGAGAGGGATGGTGCACCTTTTACTCTGGTTTTAGTCCTCCTCCGAAGATCAGCAATAAGACTTTGAATTTTAGTGTCACGCTCCATCTGACTGTGCAATCTCAGATTGCAAATGTTCATTAGAGTTTACCATCTCTGTGAACCTCATCAATATTAATATCTCCATCTTGAAGACAGGGAAGCTGAAGCAAAGATATTTTACCCAAGGTCTGCAGTAGAGGCATCAGACACAAAGGCATAGAGAAGAGAAGGAGCAATGTGTAAAGTATCATTTTTGCTTTAAAGAATATAGTTTGCATCGCTTTGATTGTAGCCGCTCTGCTCTTTTTAACTCAGCTCAGACAGGAGAAAGCAGTTCTTTCAAAACAACTTTGAAATGCTGCTCTATCCCATCAGTTCTTAAGTATCTTTTCTCCTCCAGGGGAGGACAAGGAGCCTGGAAACACGTCCTTAAACTCTAGCRTAGGGACCACAACATGTCTTCCTTGATGTCAGTGACAAAAATCACCCTAAATTGTGTGGAGAGAATTTCTGTGGACATGAAGCAATACCAAGACATGGAGCTGTTGATTTGCAGCCTGCAAGAGTCAGTGGGGAATGGGCCTTAACTCTGAGCATCCCAATGAGTCCTCGCATGCCCGTGTGTGCTGCTGTAAACAGCCGTGGACGTTTTGACTTTGTGCAAAAGTATCTGGTGGCCAGTGGTTTAGATGGAGCTACAGTAGTTGGTAAAAAGACTTAATTTGGTATGACTCTGTTCAAGCTGTCAAATCAGCATTTACGAAAAAAATTACTAGACAAAATGAAACTATTTATAAAGCACCTTGCTCAGGTTTTCTATTTCACTTACTCCCTCACATGCCTGGCTTTCAGGCAGGTTGGATTTTACTACTTATAGATCTTCGAAAGCCATTAAAAAATAACTTTAATTTGTTTGTAGGTTGTCAGTACTGCTCATAAATACCCATCCGTCCACCCTGAGACCCGCCATTGGACAGCTCTGACATTTGCTGTGTTGCATGGACATATTCCTGTAGTTCAGGTATTATTGTATTTCCCTACCTGCATCTCTTTTTTTTTTTTTTTTTTTTTTGTTTCTCCTCTTCAGTTACAATAACATCCATCTCAAACCAGTATCCTCTGTCATACTCATATTGGTTACTTCTGCTTCTTCTAGAGTGTACTGATATATAATAGACCTATTATATAATGGATACTGTGCTCAAACCTTAACCAATATGAGGCTTAAATTGGACAATTTTAAAGCAAAGCTGCACCAAAGAAAGTCTGACAACTCCTTGTGCTCCTTCCTGACCACTTGTTTTATATGTTTGTTTATTCATTCATTGCAGTCTTTGATACTATGCTACTCTAAAACACAAAATGCAACCTGGTGTGTTGTTGTGATCCAAAGACAGAGAAGCACTCAGTCTCCTTACCCAAGCAAGACGTCACGTGCAGTATGCTGGTTCTGTGCTTTGGCATCTCAGAAATTGAGTGGGTTTATTCTTCAAAACAGTTATGTCTGTGGCACATTTAACAAAGCTCCAAAATAATGAAAGCCTATGACAGAAATGGCCAAGAGCAGGGTGGAGCGCAGGCTCCATCCTGTTGCCCTTGGCCAGTTTTGTTCTCATCACTGTTACTATTCATGTGGAAGTTTACCTGATGGAGACCACGGGTTTTGGACTCACTGCTGCAATTTGTTCCTAAAAATTGCCTTTCTTTGGCCATGTATTGATATTCAAGACGGAGGCAGTTGAAATTTGATCCATTTTAGGATGGCGCTGACCTTCTAGAAGACTGTGAAGGAAGGATGCCTGTTGGGCAAATTTTCAGTACTTCCATCCTCCGTGCATTTACTTCCTAACACTGATCTTATCCCCATTTCCCATTCAGAAACACCGAGTAACACTTTTTTGGCTCTGAAGTTGGACACTAATGCTCCTGGTGTCTGGCAGTATAAAATGAGCGAAAAAAGGAATCAATTTTCCTCTTGTGAAATTCTGGGCTGAATTTGCATGTCGCCTGTGTCCATCACATCTGGTTTGCAGAGAACAAGAAGCATTAGACTCTCATCCTTCACTGTTCATGAGCTCTGAACACTGCGATTGTCCCAGTTGCTCTAAATGGTGAATTTTCTTTATAGCTGTTGCTGGATGCTGGAGCAAAGGTAGAAGGTTCTTTGGAGCATGGAGAGGAAAATTACTCTGAAACTCCTTTACAGTTGGCAGCAGCAGCTGGTAAGGACTTTCTCCTCTCACCGTACTAACTTTTTTTCAGTTGGGATCTGTGATTTAGATGAGCAAATGCTGGGCTTCAACGAAAACTAAAAATGCATCTCTTGACTTCCAGGAAATTTTGAACTGGTTAGTTTGCTGCTGGAGCGAGGAGCTGACCCCATGATAGGCACAATGTACAGGAACGGCATTTCCATGACTCCACAAGGTGACATGAACTCTTTCAGTCAGGCTGCTGCGCATGGACACAGGTAGAGTGGGAACAAGTCTAGTGGCATCAYTCAGATGGTTACTTCTTTACCTGGGAGCCTGGTTGGAGCAGATGGGTGGAAGCTCTGCATGAACAATTAAAGATGCCACCAGCTGAGCAGAGATAGAGGCTTTCCGCTAGCATGTGAATTTGGGCAGTTGGTGGAACTAACTGCTTTTTGATTTCTGATAACAAAAAAAGGGAGGAGGGAACTTTTTGTGGTTGTGTTGCAGTGTGATGTTTGTAAAAYGGTAGCTGATGTGAGGCTGGGAAGGAATGCCACAGACATTCCTTCTGAATTTCTCTTGTGAACGTGTTTCTGAAGTTTGGGGTGGATTGTGTCTGTGCTGCTGCAGCCTTAGCTGCATCCTAGCAGAGTGTCTGCGTCGGTGTTTCCTGTGAAGTCCTGTGTGTATTAGTGTTGTATGTCTGCTGCAATTTCTTTTTTTCTACAAGCAATGAGATGAGCACCTGGCATGCATGATCTTGCAATATTCAGGAGTTTGTTGCAGAATAATGCATTAGTATTATGACCTTACATTCCTACTTTTCTGATTGTAGCCATCCAGAGGAACATAGATACAGGTTAGAGACAGTGTCTACCGTCTATTTGCTTAGAGGAGAGCTGCCAGCCACACAACTGCTCATGGCAGTGAGGGGGGGCTCAAACAACTCTGCCCATCAGAAGCCTCTGAGGAGACTCCAGGACAGAGGACAGYTTATTTACTGCAGTGTCACGTTCCTTGCAGGGACGCTGATACCAACCGGTGTGAGCGGGAGCTGCACCGCGGTATCAGTGCTTCCAAGCAGGGCCTGAGAGTCTCCTGGATTTGGCTTCTGGCTGTGCATGTGTGCAGAGTCGAAACTTAATTTTCAYCCCAAAGCTGCCTCTTGTTTTCCCCGCTGCACTCTGTGCACATGCACTGCCCTGTCTTTCCCTCTCTCCCATATCCCTCACTTGCTCAGGCGGGCCCGCGCAGCTGGGAAGCGGCGTGGGGCTGGCCTGGTTTCCCTCCTCGCAGCCACAGAAACCCAGGAGCAGCTGTKGGGATCCGTGAGGTTGTGCTGCTGTGAACCAGAGGGGAGCGGGGTGCCAAGGCACTGGAATTAGGGCCCTGCTGTTGGGCAGCCTAGGCAGCTGGCTTTGCAGAATAGCCCCGAATTTGCTTGAAGCTGCCCTGATCAGCCTGGTTGAATGGCTGGTTGCTCCAGCTTTCAYGGACTGCTTTGGCTGTTAATTGGCAGTGATGGTATTTCCCAGTAGCTTCAGAYGTCCTCCTTTTCAAGTGGTGTCCTCTAAGTGAAGTTTCTTGAAGCTTTTCTAAAAGCCACTTTTTCTGAAAACAACTCAGCCTCCCTGAAGAGTGGGGCAGATGCCCCCAAGTTCAAACACGTTTAGCTCACGGGGTTCTGCTCCTACGAGGTCCTGCTGCACATCTGTACAATCTCTGTTACTGCAGCCATGTGGCCAGCCTTGCAGACCTGGTCCACACAGTAGAGGTGGACTAGCAAGACTGGTGCTTGTGTCAGGGCTACTGTAAGGCCACCCTATCTAAAGACCATTAAATGGAATAGTTTCGATGAGCCTGCTGGATGGGTGTCCTAACCTGCCAAGGTCCAGCAAGCATCCTGGACAGAAAGAAAACATAATCACTAACACTGATTTGTCTCAATTTCTCTTTTTTTCCCTCTATCTCTCCCTGTTGTGCTGTGGTTGACAGGAATGTGTTTCGTAAGCTCCTCGCTCAGCCCGAGAAAGAGAAGAGCGATATTCTGTCCCTGGAGGAGATCCTGGCAGAGGGGAATGACCTGCCCGATTCTGCAGCAGCTCCGCTTTGCGCCAGCCGCAACAGCAAGGCCAAGCTGAAGGCCCTGAAGGAAGCCATGTACCACAGTGCTGAACACGGATATGTGGACGTGACCATCGACATCAGGAGCATAGGTCAGCTGTGGTGTCCTGACTTCTTTCCCATCTTTCTAAGGCTCTGCTAGTCTTAGAAGAACATTTTCAAGCTGTTGGTCAAGCCAACCACAGTTAAATCTTTACCAGTTTCTGTAGAAGCAGCAGTTGCAGGGGCTTTCCAAGTGGGTCTGTGGGTGAGGAGAGGGGGAGGTGAGTTCAGTTGGTTCAAGCTGTGGCCTCCTGGGCACCTGTCAAGTCAGATTTGCTTTAATGAACCCTGACTGAATAGGACCATCTCCCCTGGGTGGCATGTGCTTCACTTGTCTCGTCCCAAATGCAGATGCCACCTGACATACACGTCTGAGCTCGGCGTTTCCTGGAYGTTCCCGTTCTGCCCAGCCTGCCGATGGCTGCCCTGGCAGCACATCCGCCCCCTCTCTGGCTTCATGCACTGACAAAGTGCTTGGCAGAGACGGGCTGAGCAGTTAAGCCTCCTGCTTCCTGATCTGCCCCAGCAAAACAGGCAGACAGCTRCTTTTCATAACAAGTCCTGCCTGCCACATCCATACCAAGAGCAGCATCTTGTTCTCCATCCTTCCATCTGGAGGTGTCAGGGAGTCCTGTGGGTTCCTGCGTCGCCCTTCTCAGGGACCACCAACACTTCTGCACAACCGAGCAGTTTCCACCAGCAACCATCTTCACTTGAGTTTGGCAAGGTGTCAGCTAAGGGCAGCTGCTCATTTGCACTCAGCCGGTAAAGTAGCAATGATCTGGCTTCTTGATGGGCTAATTGTGCCAGCATGGAGATTCAACATCGCTCCGGGGATATTCAACACTTTTGGGAAGTTGTTCCTGCCTTTGCCAAAGGTGGGAAGGTTTTGCAAGAGGAAATGGGTCTGGGCTATAGTTTTACTGTCCCTGTTAAGAGGCATCCAGAGCGAGAGACCAGGATGCTGGGCACGCTCCTGTGTGGTACTGCGCTCCCATCCTGGCCTCTTCTGGCCAGCATCAGTGTCGGCCACTGGAGTGGGAAGCCAGTGGTGGCCACGCGCCTCGCTGGGAGCACTGAGCAAGAAGAGCCCCGTGTGGTGGATGGGAGAGAGCAGAGGGGCTGCCCTCAGGACAAGGGACTTCTGCAGAAGTAGAAGGAAGGACCTTTAGTCACGAAACCTGAAATTCAGAGCATGTGTTTCCTCTYGCTGTGTTCTGCAAGAACAGAAACTAGGTCACATCCAAGCTAACGCCTGGGCTGTGTGTTTTATCAGYCAGTGCACGGGAGCATTTCCCTTTAAGTTCTTGAACTGTGGCACTGCCATGACAAGTGACTCCTTAAAAAAGCTGATCCACTTATCTCACTCYGTGCTGTTTAAGGGAAATAGTAACGACTGGTAGAGGACTTGGGGTAGAGCTTAAAAAAAAGGGTTTAATTGAGGGACCACCGGTTTGAATGCTGGTGAGTAGTGACCAAAATCTTTTTTATCATTTAATGGCTCTCTGGGGAGACATCCAAACAAATGAGCTCGTGTAAATCTAGTTTCCAACAGTTTTTCTGCATTGCAAAGCACCATGGCAGTTACCACAAATTGGCAGTCTCAGCAGAGAAGCAGAGGGCTAGATGAGCAAAGAGACCACAGTCTCCTCATAACACTTTGAGGGGCACCCCTATGTATTAGGGTTGGGATGTTCTGATAACCATCAGTCTTCATTCTTGTGGATAAATAGGAATTTGATCTCTAGAGTTATGTGGCAGCTTTTGCTTAAAATCCTAACATTAATGTAACTAAAGATAAAAAAAAAAAAAAAGAAAGAAAAAGCAGCAGCAGAAGGACACACACTCCTCTGAAGCTGGGAACGAGCCCTGTCCTCTGTCTGCAGGTGTTCCCTGGACGCTGCACACGTGGCTGGAGTCCCTGCGAACGTCCTTCCAGCAGCACAGAAGACCCCTCATCCAGTGCTTGCTCAAGGAATTCAAAACCATTCAGGAAGAAGAGTACACAGAGGAGCTCATCACACAGGGGTTGCCTTTGATGTTTGAGATACTGAAAGCGAGCAAGGTAGGATAAATTGCGCTTGGATTCTTTAAAATCAGTCTCATTCCAAGCACCTAAAATGTAAACCTTGTAATACTGATTTTGCACAACTGTCCCAAAGCTTGTTTAGACCAGACAGAATTATTATTTTTTTGTATTGGGTGCCTCTTTTTGTTTTCTTTACTGTGGAAGCATAAGTTAAAAACATTGTGGGCTATTTACATCTCCTGCTAGAACTGCTTAATATTGATGCTAACAAAGAGCTGAGGAGACAAGAGAAGCTAATGGTAGAATTAATGTCACAAGGGTCATTGCAGTACAGCAAGACATGTTGATAACCAAGACACCCCAGACAGTAACTTTACCCAGGCTGCTATATAGGACCATACAGCAAAGCTAATATTCATCTTTACATTGGATTTCTTTAACATCTTGCATGATTTTCTTTTCCTTCATGTGGGATTTGGACTTGTGGGAAGCCTGCGTTCTACAAGCATACACACAGAACAATTTTAAAAAACCCTCTGTGTGAGTGTTTGTACTTGCAGTCTCGCCAGATGTATTTTTGGTTTGACATTTTCTTACCCAGACAAATCAGCCTAACAAAACCTTTTGAGGGAGGTACCGTTGGGTATGCAAGTCTAATAGCAAAGGGGAAGRTTGTGCAGCAGACAGGGAGAGGAAAATGTCTTAGGTATTTAGTGAAGGCTGGATACTTTCTTTTAAGGCCTTTTTTCATTAGCAGTCTCTTCTGCTGCTGCCATTGCCAGCCAGCGCTTCCCAGTTCAAGGTTTCTATCTGAAGTCCTGTCAGGTCTGCTCTTTTCTGATATCAGGAAATTATCTCAGTAAAGAGTTTTTCTTATGCACCATAATACATGTCAGTAAGGCCTTGTCTTTGTTTAAGTGGGATGTAAGAACCCTTCTTCACCCAATTCAACGTCCAGCGCCAAGGAGTAAATACTTTTTAGCATCTGCAGTAATAACCCAAAATATGTGAAAAGGACGGGGGTTTTGGGGAAGACACTCAATGCTAAGAGCTTCCAGACTTAGCAAAGCAAGTGAAAGCTTACTCGGATGTGGTTCCAAAAGAAGGCTCAGACTCAAAGTCCTGAGCAAATGTTGAACATTAGTTCCAGCAATTGCTCTGAGTTTTGTTCCCATGAACTTTTGCTTTGGAATTAGATTGTAATGGATAAGTATTTATGGAGAATTTTTACAGATAACTTTTCGGAAATCATTCCAAATCCCAGGATTTGTAGACTCCTCGCTCTAATCTTACTTAGGTTAATATATGTTCATCCAGCAACCAGCAGTAAGGTGCTGTTCCGTTTGAAAGGTGATATAAAGCTATTCGTATTGAAGACTTCATGGAGATTAGGTTTAGGCCTGGTAATCTAGGATGAAGGACAGGTCTAACTGCTGTTCTCCTGGGTGGCTGAAGCCAAAACCAATGGATTTATACATGCTCAGCTTCAAAATAAGATGTTATGTAGGATTATAAGTCTTGAGAGATGTTAGACTCACTCTTCCAGCCTACAAGTGTCTCTTGTAGGCAACTTGGTAGCATATAAGACTGTGCATCCTTTTGYTTTAGGTTCACTTAAAATCTAAAATTCGGAGGGGAGAAAAATAAAAGAGCACTGCAAACCCGGTATGATAAAGACAAAATCAAGTTGGTCTTTGCCTCTGCCTCTGAGCCTAGGGGAACTGCCTGTCTTCACTCTTCGTGCACATGCATATCCACAAACACACACACATGCACACACGATTTTATATTGTTACAAAAATAATGAATCATTCTCGGGGCACTGTAAGGTTTTCAAAATTATCCGCAAATAGCATGAATTACTGCCACAGTCTTGGCCAAGTGGCCTCTCACAAAGCTCTCCCAGACAGAAATGAGGACAGATTCCATCCAGCCCTTTGGCAGGAATCAGAATAAAATTATATGCAGGAGAAAAAAAGCCAATAAAATTTCTCTCTGGTCACTGCCATAGAAGGCATTTGAGGAAAGCTGAGATTCAAAGGATATTCTGTTCCACTTCTCTGGAAGGGCTGAGAGCAGAGATTTGCTYTATATGTACTCACAGAATGGAAATCTCCTTCAAGAAGTGCAGCAGAGCTGGAGCTGTGGTTCTGATCCCTCTCTTTCCACAGCAAATTATAGAGCACCACATTTTATTAAGCTGGAGGGAAGGTTGATTTGTCCAAATGGACACCCTTTTCCCTGTGGGCTGGGATCTTCAGGACAGATTACGACTCATGCTAAACATCACAGTCTGGCCCAATACATTCCCTTAATGAGCTGATCAGGGCACAGAGCATAAAATAAGCCACTCGGGAGCACCGAGTCACTTAGCGTTTCTTGGCTTATATATATATATATATATATATATATATAAAAGATGTTCCATTTGCTATATATTGTGGATGCTCAGTATGCTCAGTATATTTTAATTGTGTGGCAACTAGTACCTAGTGGAAATGGCATTTTCCATTTCTATAAATAGTCCCAAATATCCCATAGTCTCAAAACAATTTACCAGTATTAATGAGTTGAGGCAGGCACRGTGATCTTAGCCTCCCTTATTCAGAGAAACTGAGCTAAGCAGATAGGCAGGTTTCCACCACCTTGTAGGGTGCACAGGAATACCTAGAAAAGGCAGGGAAAAAAAGGTAATTTGAGTACATTGGCTAGAGCATCTTCTACTTTGCACTGTCTGAAGAAATATTCTCATGGGATCCTAGGCCATGTGAAAAGACCAGGCACCACACAAAATAAAAAGTTACAGTTAAAATACAAATAGCTACAAGAACCACAACAAATAAAAGAAACGCACACCCCTCATMTTGTACAGATGTTCTTTTTAAATGCCTCTACCTTGAGGATTTCAGGCTCCAGGTGTCCGAATTCCCTCAGCGACTGCATGTTGGTCTCCAACGACATGGTGCTCTGCTCCCCTTCACGTGCCAGAACAGCGGAGGCAGAAGGGAAAAAAACCTTTCCGAAAGCCCCAGTGCTGGAACAGAGGCTGGCAGAATGGCAAATGAGACTGGACAGGTGCCCACGCACTTCAGCTGAAGCCCCTAATTTTATTGCCTTTTCTAAATACTGTGAAATAAAGAGGTGGAGAACAATTAATAAATAGTATTTTGAGTGTTCACTGCTGCACGAAAACCCTGGGGGAAGAGTTGGAAAGGCACAAATAAGGGCTAGACCCCTGGCTCTTGTAGGACTCCACTGGGACTGAGAGCTTTCATTGCCCTTCATGCCTTTAAATATCTTAATCAGCTGCACTGTTCTGAGTTGGATGAGGAGCTGAGAAATGCCAGTGTTTGCGTGCTGCTGAGGCAGAGTGTCCAAGCAGACTCTGCACTTGCTCCCCCGGGGTTCCTGCTATCGCGCGGCGAGCCTGAGTCACCATCAAAATGAAGACCAGGAACCAGATATTCCGGAGAAATATCAGTAGAAAGGACATGGAGAGCACAGTTTAAGGCACCTTGCTAAGAGCAAGCAAAGTTCAAAGCAGCAAAGCCCTAACTTTAAAGCTGTTCAGTGAAGTTGTGCCTCGCTGGAGGATTGGGGCTACCAGATGAGGAAAGTCACTGCCATTTCGAGGCAGATGGGATGTCTGAAGCAGGCAAGCTTGCAAGCATAGCCTGCTGAAAATTGTTTGGACAGGGCTACATGAGACAGAAGTCAGAGAGACAGTTCTGAGAGGGAGTAGCCTGGAGCTAAACCTCAGATGCTTCAGAGCGCAGAGTCAAGTCCCTCAAAGCGAAGATGACCCTGGAGATCTTGTTACAGGAGAAGGACCGAACAGCGCAACCAAATTTGTGCTCTCAGTATCTGCATTGAGTGTTTCATGGCCTAAAGAAAACGCACAGATTTCTCACTGGAAATCCTGTTTTTGCCTGCAGCTGAGGTTGTTGTTCAGGCTCAGTAGGAGGCTCAGTCCAGCCCAGGTGGCTGTGCTGCAGGCGGGGAGGATGGCGGCAGCTCTGGGCAGAGGGGGCTGAGGCTGTCAGGAGCTCCTGTAGACACGTATGTGCTCTTCCATTTTCACAAAGAGGTTATCTTGAAAGATAACCTGCTGAATACAGGTGATGCATCCGTTCCTTCCTTTCAGAAGTCTTGAAGCTGTTGCAGTTTGACCTTGACATTCCCACAAGCTGAAGAGAGGAAGAATTTAAACCATAACTGGTTTTAAGGCTGCCCTGGCCTTTGGAGGAGGTTRGGTTTAGGTTTCCGCCCTGGACCTCCATGAATTGGTAGTCCATAAGGTCACCCAATTCCATGGACACGAGCCATCACTATTGCTGTCAGTACTCAGTTGTGAGCTGGTTTCATGCCCTGCTTTTTCTGCATGCAGCAATTTTGAGCATACTGATCTGGACCTATTTTTTGACAGAAAAAAACCTCTTTTAACTGCCAGTAGCACCTCTCACAACCTTTCCCTTTCGCCAATTCACAGGGACATGGAATTACTCTTTGCCATTACTTTGGATCCTTTGCGGGAACATAACGCAGAATGGTGTGAGTTAGTCCAGGTGTATTGAAGTGCTTGTGCTTAGTGTGTTGTCCGGAAGCTCCGCTTGACATGTTGGAGATTCTTCACACTGGGAACCTCAGTGTTGGAGGTTCTTCACGCTGGGAAGCACTGGCTCCAGACCCACTATGAGCACTCCTGCTCGCATATTACCAAGGAAAGAATCAATTTGAAAAGCTTTGGGAGGTCCTTCATCTTCCTACTCTGCAGTGGTCTGTAGCTTTGGCTTCCTCCTTCCCATCATTAGTTTATTTTAAGATTTATTCCATTAGTGAGGTGTTGATTATAGTGTACAGTAGAGCTGGTTGAAAGATGCAGGAAACTCTTTTACAAAGATGTTTTCTCAGAATTCCTGCAGAGTTTCACAAACGCTACAAATGCATCTAAAGGCAGCTGAAGAAATCTGCAGGAGCACTTTTCAAAAAAGTCAAACTTTTTGAACCTATGTGGGTAGTAGCCTTTAGCCCAGTGA